TCTACCTAAAATTTTATCAATGTACAAAATTTTTTAGATGGTCAGGAAGAGGGCTAAGATTTAAAGGCATGTCCCACGGAGACTTACTTAGCTACAGATTAATATATGAAAACATGAATGATGGACTCCTTCCACCAAGGGATGACCAAGACGTTCAATGGTGAAGAGGAGCTCCTTGCCAAGGCCAAGATGATGACCTTATAGGGTGGATGTTCCTTCAAGGGTGAGGCAAAGTGAAGGTGGGCATGAAAGGTGGGAACTTTGGAAAATAGGAGAAAATGGAAGCGAAAGTGTCTTGGATGGTTCTAGGTTGGCTCACTTCACTATGTGGGGGTGAAGGCCACTCAATAAACCCTAAACTCACTCAAGGGAGGAGATAGGAGAGGTAGGTCGTGTAGACCTAGTGACTATGGGAAGGATTTGAGGCAAAAATATTCTCTCAAATTCATATAATCCAAAGTATTTACAAGGTGTATGATTTAGGGTATTTATAGGGGAGGGAGCATTTAGGGTTGCATTTGGGAGTGTATAGCCGAAAATTGCAATGTCAAATGCACTCCAAATGAAACTCAAATTAACCCTAGATGCTACTTGGTGGCCAATGATAAAATCTTTGGGTTTGGCTAAATTACAACTAGGTGCATGATAAGACCATGCAACTTATCCACTTGGGCCTAAGCCTTTCCAAGTCCAAAAATTGATCAATGCTCACAAAAAAAAAACGTTTAGGCCCTAAATAAATACCCTAGTCCAAAAAAATAAAATCCTATAATTTAAGGCACCCCATAATACAAGGGTAAAATGGGAAATACAAGTGAAAATAAATCCTATGACTAAAATACCCCCAAAATACAAGGGTAAAATGAAAAATACAAGTAAAATAAATCCTATGTCTAAGATACCCAAAATACAAGGGTAAAAATAGGAAAAATAAAGACAAGGGAAAAATAGGCATAAAAGATAAATTCTATGCTAATAAGGCTTAGAAGATTGATCAATATCCTTTAACCACAAGAAGCATATCTCTAGGGGTGTTAGCTCCCCTATCTTCTTTTGATCTCCTAGCCATGGACATATTGATGGGTCCCACATGAAGTTCGAAGGATGGTCTTCCATCAATGAGTCATAACAAGGTAATACAATGTCAAATTCTCTCACACACACTCTCTTTTATTCAATTAGTTTATACCCTAAACCTTTTTCTTTTTCAATTTTTGTGGATGCCATATAGGGGATTTGAGTCCTCATTGCCAACACGTGTTTACAAGGATTCTAGAATATGGACTTCTTGTACTGCTTTAACTTCATTTGTAGTTGTAGTCTGACATCAAAGTGATAGAGTCCAATTGCAATTTGGCTTGTGGCAACCAATCACCAATGAAGCGCATAATCTTGATAAAATGCACGAAATAAACATGAGAGGACATAGCGACACCAACTGGGCTAAAAAACATGCATACTGGATTTCTATTTGGAAAGATAAACATAAACATGTTTTTGGGCAACCACTTTAAGGGCCTCTCCAACACACTCTTGAATATTTACAATGATTTCGTGCTAATTCAAAATTTTCTTTATAGCCAATATTCTTCATTTGGTGCATGTACTTCTAGCACACAACTCCCAACAACTATAGGATTTCAACAACATTTTCAAACATCATCACAAACCCTAGTGGTTGGAGATAACCACCCATATCATAATACAAATAATAAAATTTGGAATAACACAATCTTTCATTTTTAAAATACCAAACATGTTCAGATAGAGAGCACCACATTCATAACTTAAACAAATAACATAATCAGTGGTAATTATAAAAGAAATAAGGTTAAGGTTTTCAAAATAATTTAACAGAAATAACATCCTAATTTAATCCTATCTACGCCCCGATGTCACATGTCCTATCAGAGCAAATCCCAACATAGAAGCCTAAGCTTCATCATCAACATCCCCAGCCTCATGCTGATAATCACCTGTATGACAGTCAAAGAAAACAACACAAGAAAAAAGGGAGTGAGAAACATCCCACTCTAGCTCATAGTGTAGAAATATACGCCGGATAGCCAAACACAAACAAAACAGGTATAACATAGATAAATTAATAATAACATCACATCTCAATCATCCAAGACATATCAATTTTTCATATAACATTAAAATGCACATGTATGGACACGGACTACATTTTATCATGCATGTGGCGCTAGTAACATATCACATGGCATATTGCCGCTAGCAATACACGAAGAGTAGTCTAGGAGTACATGCCGGGTCACACCCTCTGCGCACTCTTACTAGAAGGACATACTACCAGAGTCTCGTTGGGAAAGCTAAGCCGCGCAAGATACATCTCATGCACACAATGGGCGAGATTGGGACTTACAAACCGAGCTATCCCCAAGGACTAATTCCCAAAGCTTTTACACTAGGGGGCCTTCTCTGGCGGTGTATTCCATATCGTACCCTTAAAATCATTTATGCACATGATGCATGTCAATCAAGACTCGATGCTTTTCTCATATCATGTTATCATGTTTCATTCTCATATCACATTGTCATGTCTCATTATCACATCACATGGTCCTGTCTCATCATCATTCACATTATCACATTATCACATCTCATTGTCATATCACATTATCACATCATATTCACAATTTTTACAGAGAACTTTAATTCATATCAAAACTCATCTATTTGCAAAATTAAATACATATTCATATATCTCCTACAATAAGAAATACAATAGAACAATCAGAAGGTAACAGAAAATATTATAAATATGACTGTTTCTCATAGGGTTCCACAGGAACCCACAAAACACTCTAATTCATATCAAAACTTGTTTATTTTCAAAATTAGACACATATTTACACTCAACAAACATCAAGGAACACAACAGAATACTCAGAAGGTAAACAGAAACATTTAAAATTTGTCTCTTACAATTACCAATGCATTCCCTTAGGGTTTCCCAGAGGAACCCATAGAGATCTCAAATTACACATTTATATTTAAATATAGGAAAAATAATAGAAGAAACATATATAATTAGGGAAAACTCCTCATACATGAGCATACAACAACAACAACAATCATAGGATTGAGGGCCAATCCCACTACCCAACAAACATTCCCACACCTAGAGCAAGGTTTCTCACTCCCCCTTTACCTCGATAAGCAGGAGCTGAAACTAAAGCTAGATCTTGTTGGTCCCCTCCTCTAGGTTCCCCCTTGGTCTTCAAAGAGTGTAGAAGAAAAAGAGGTGAAAAGTGAAAAATGTGTTTTTTGGAGTGACAGAGCGTTCCATTTATAAGCATCAGTAGTCGCCATAACGACCCGTTTCAAATCCGGAATGGTCCGTTCTGGACTCATACTTCATGTCCAAAATTCACATTTGGAACGGCCCGTTCCAAAATCAGAACGACCCGTTCTGGATATGAGTTTCAACTGACAACGACCACATTTGGAACGACCCGTTCTCAAATCGGAACGGCCCGTTCTGGGTTCGAAGTTTACTCAGTGAATCATGTGTTGGAACGACCCATTCCAACCTAATCTTTCTAAGCCATTTTAGTAGTCTGGAACGGCTCGTTCCAATTTGAGAACGGCCCGTTCTAGGCTACTAAAATCAAAATATTACAAAATAATTTTCATAAATATTTATTGTTAAAATAGTCATAATTATTAAAAACCTTTAAAACATTCTATAAAAGGCATTAAAATAGCTATAAGAAAATAATCTCCATAAATATAAAATAAATAATAAATAATCATTATACTAGTAGAAAATTCGAGATATTACACTTATAGTATGGAACAACATCCCAAGTCTTTTCAATGAATCCACTATTTTCATACGCACCATGAATAATTCATGTACACCCCACCATCAACAACAACTCCAACATGGGACTTCATGAGTAATCTTTTTGGCGTCGAGGTACACACACCACAAAGTGCATATAATTACATGCAAATCATGAATTTTCTTTCATTTTCTTCTTATCACTTTGAGGTTGGTGGAAGTATTTCGTCGAATCCAGCCACAAATATTGTTCATATAAAACATGACGAGGAGCAAGTTGAACCACAACAACCATGCATTGGTTGTCGAAATCCAACAAAGACCCGACAACCTCCAAGGTGTGGGACTGATGGACATAAACATCATTAAACTAGCTTATTGTTATGTAATTTGATAGATTGTGATTGTGTTGCTATTATTTATTCGATCTCCTATTTCGTTGGGATAAATATTTTAAAATTGTTCATCTCAATTAAAGTATTATTACATTTCCTATGTCTTTAATTAAATAAAAATAAAAAATAAATTAAATTTTACACATTTATAATTTTAACAAATGATTTACTAAATTATAATATTAAATTTCTATATTTTAAAAATATAATTTCATTTTTAAAGATATATTATTTCTTTATATTTTATTTTGAATTTTAAATTAAATTATCTCTATCTTTTAAATAAGTTTCTTTTTTAATAAAATAAATAAGTTTTAACATTATTTTTATTTTTAACATAAATTAAAAATATTATACATTATTTTTGAATTTTATATATAATTATAATATTAATTATTTCAAAATAAAAAATATATAATTTAATTATAAAAAATCATTTCCAAATTCTGAAAATTAAAATAAATAAATTTTTTTAAATTTTAAAATCAAAAAAACAAAAAATGCAATAAAAGAAAAAAATTGGACTCATGAGAATTGGATAACTGATTTTTCAATGAGTTTTTTTAAATTTTTTTCAAAATGTCATTAAGAAATCGGTTGTGTAATAATCAATTTCTCACCTAGATTCAAAAAATAAGATATTTAGGTAAATAAAAAGAGGTCTACATTATTTAAATAAATAATAAAAAATGATATATTAAAAAAAATCATAGATTTCGGAGATTTCTTTCGAAGGATGCAGCATTTTTCTAATAATTATAATAATTATTATTCTCCTCTGTTTTGGTAGAATAATATAAGGAAGTAACAGAGCGTGGTGAGAGCCCCAAATCAGATTGATACCCTAATCGCGATGGTGTGCATAAGGAAGGCGACGGTGAAGGACCTTCTGGCGATGCAGGCTTGCAACCTGTTCTGCCTGCCAGAGAACTACCAGATGAAGTACTACCTCTACCACATCCTCTCCTGGCCCCAACTCCTCTACGTCGCCGAAGACTACAACAACCGCATCGTCGGCTACGTCCTCGCCAAGATGGAGGAGGAGACCTCCGACTGCCACGGCCACATCACCTCCCTCGCCGTCCTCCGCACCCACCGCAAGCTCGGCCTCGCCACCAAGCTCATGACCGCCGCCCAGAACGCCATGGAGCAGGTTAGCTTCCATCCCTCTCTTTCTTCTCTCTCAATTCTTTCTTCTCTCTCAATTCTCTCTCGCAGGTCTTTGGCGCCGAATACGTCTCCCTCCACGTCCGCAAGAGCAACCGCGCCGCCTTCAACCTCTACACCGAAACCCTCGGCTACAAGATTCACGACGTCGAGGCTAAGTACTACGCCGACGGGGAGGATGCTTACGACATGAGGAAGCAGCTCAAGGGGAAGCAGCACCACCAGCATCACCATAACCATCACCATCACCACCACCACCACCACCATCATCACCACCACGACCACGGCGGCGGCTGTTGCTCCGGGGAGGCCAAGGGGAATGCCAAGTCCGCCTGATTGCTTCTTGTCCTAATAAATGTGGATTTTAGTTTTTGTTAGGGTTGATTGCGTTGTGCAAGCTTGTTGTAGATTTATTTGGCTGTGTTCGCTGTTTTGTCTCTTATTATATGGATTTAGACGCTCCGTGTGTTTTCTGGATGATTGAATGAATAACATTTTAGTGTCTGTTGAGGTTTTTTTTATAGGTTTTCTGAATGATGTTTTATGTCACTGTGGCATGTCTTGAATTGGTTGATACATGCTGCTAGTGTAACTCGTCTGTTGGACTAAACTTATTTCTCTCACTCACTCACTCACTCACTCACTCACCAATTCTACCTAATACCATTCTTTGTTGTTTGAAATTTACAATACATCACACATGAAGGAAGTCCTTCACCCATGAAGGTAAACACTGCTGTAGTCTGTTTTGTTGGCTGAGCTTGTCAATTTTCTAAACCTTATTCAAAAAAAGTGCAAAGAAAAAGAGAAGATGAAAGAGCTATTACATTGAGCAAATTCAGAAACTGCGGAGGCGGACCTACATACAATTCAGGGAGTGCATTCACCTCCTCACTTTAAGGTTAATATACATGTATGTTCTTGAGCTATGGTTTTTTTGCCCCCTCTAAATTTATATTTTGAAGCCCACCGCTCCTAATTTCTTAATTGCTTTTAATTTTTTGTCATTTATTGACTGGTTTATTTCTTATATTTGGATCTCTTTTCAGATTACTTTTCATTCCTAATGAGTCTTTTTGTAATATGTGTTTCTTGATATATATATATATATATATATATATATATAATTAATATTTTTTAATTTTATAAATAAATTGTCTCTATTTACCCAAGGTCCTAAATCTGCCAGGCAGAAAGTAGTTACATCAAACATGTGAGCAATACTGGTGGATTGATTAGTAGAGGTTGATGAGGAGTACAAACTTCTGTCACATACTCTTTATCTCTTTTTCATATAACGATAGATTCTTATCCATTAATCTCATGGCTAAATGGACACTAGTTTTCGTAAATTCTCATTGCTTCATAATACTTACCTGTTTTTAATTTTACAGAGCTTGTTCTTTTTAATATGATTATACATCACAATTACATTCCTTTTTTTAATATTCTTCAAGTATGAAGAAATTAATCCACCTTGTGTGGATCAATTTTGCAGTAACACTGATAACACATTAAGGTAGAGGTAACTTTGTTTTTCTTGTCTTTTTTTGTTAGTTATTAATTTGTAGTTTATTTTGCACTTGCTTTAGTTTTTTTGGTTAAAGTTTTAAAGATAGTTTTTCTTGTTTTTTTTTTGTTAGTTATTAATTTGTAGGTTATTTTTCACTTACTTTGGTTTCCATGGTTATAGGTTGTAAAAATAGAAAGCTGACATACTCTCAATTCCCTAAATTTTGAAATGGAAAATTCTACTGTAAACACCTTTCTAAGGGAAGGACTTTATACTGTGAATGTGATTATTCAGTCTCTGTTGGAATTAAATTAATTGAGTGTAGTTATTTCTTCAGGAAAAAAAATTAGTTGAACTCGTATTCTTCTTGATTGTCTTAAAAGGTTTATTATGTTGTTTAATTTCTTTTTTCATTATTATTTTCAGATCCTAAATTTGCAGATTGAAATTTTGAGCACAATCTTGTTGAACCAAGTTTGTTGGACTATGATTGTATAAGATTCTTGTCTTTTGCATTAGTTATATTTCTCGCGAGAATATCTTTGGGTGAAATATTTTATGTTGTAGAGAGTAACATAATATCCTTTTAAAAGAATGAGTTATTAGCCTTGTTTTAAGACACTCAAAAGCTGATAACTTTTAGTAGACTTCCTGTGTGAATGCTCTGATTACAAACCAGTTGAGTTGAAAGAATATGTTCGCATCTTGCTTGACTTGTATTTCTGAAGAAAGGCAGCGACTCTACAGGCTTGTTCAGGATGATTACAAGCAGCAAAAATTGATTGCTTTTGTAATTATTTTGTTATAATATACTTCAATTTTCATTATGACAAACTGACTGACTAAATATGTGGCAAACGTTCACCTCTATATGTATTAAGTTGTTATTTTGAAGACCAGAGATGCAAGTGACAATTTTTTGATAAATGAAACAGTTGAAAAATAGACTATTTTCAAGCGGCCTGCACTGGATAAGTTGGTATCTTATCAGGCACGTGTCAACAGTGTGGTTGGTTCAACCTCGTGTTAACTCTAAAAAAAATAGACATGTTTGTCTCTTATGGTATGGACTGGATGTTTATTATGGGAAAGACCTTCTTTAGAGATGGGAAAGTCCCAATGAACAAGTTATGAGAACCCACAGGTACATAATCATTGAGTTCCTGAACGAAACATGATTTTGACTCTGGACAATTATGGAAGTCTTGCAACATGTATTGAGAGAACTACAGTAAAGGATCAAACGAAAGTTGCATAGTTCATGACAGAAAATTTCATATTGGTATAGTAATTATCATCTTGTTTTAATGAGAAGTTTATTCTGAATTTGAAGGACATCTTTGGAAATCTGATTCAAATTATGTTAGTTGCAATCTCAAGAACGCACAAGGGTATCACACTGTTTCCTTGCAGCAAAACAAAGGATTTTGATATTGGTGTTTGGAGGTGGTGTCAAAAAAATCAATTCATTTTTCATCTGTAATGCCATGGTCATGGCTAGAGTCCTACTGTTATAAATCTTATAAATCGTGCTATCAGAACAGCACAAGCAAAAACCTGAGGAGGGTTTTCATTGGGGTGAATGTTATAGGAGCTAGAAGGATATTGATCTGCACTGGAAGGAACAGCCATGGTGAGCTCGAAGAGAAAAAAAGGAAGATCATTCTACTGATACCATGTCACATTAAATAATGATGAAAAGCTTAATCTAAAACTTGATGACTAACCGGCTAAATTTATGTACAATGCACATTCGGTGGTAGTTGATCAATTTGTAAATGAGATTTTTGTTTTAAACTGATAACCATTATTGTCGGGTATTAATATTTTCAAGACACTTCATAATTTATTTTTAAAACAGTAGGATATATAAGTAGGATAAATTAGAAGCCTAAACATCACTGAAACAAAGAGTGATCAATACAATTAACAGGGAAAACATTTAAAGAGGATTGGACAATAACAAATTATACATTTAATATTAGGGCAATTTAAATAAGGAAATGAGAGTGTAAAAGGTTGTGTACTCACTTGGAGTTTCTCAAATTAACAACTCTACGCAAGTTTCTTCTCTACTTTTAATATATTACTCTTTTTTATAATATTATATCACATTTTTTTTACTTTAAATAACTTAACTAATCAATATTAAAATAATATTTAATCAGCAAAAGTCATGCCTCATAAGTATAGATTAATCTTTAATTATCAATTAGATTAATCTTAATTATCAATTTTGAAATAATGTGTAAATTATTCCAATGATTCAATGGACAAAAAAAAAAAAAATTCAATCAATTTTTTACTCCAAAGAAGAAACTAAAGTTTCTAAATGGACCCTACAACATATATCTATTTTTTTATGTTAATTTTAAATTAATGAGTAAATGACAATTGTTAAACAATTTTTCTTTTATATTTAACTTTTTAATATTAATTTTAAGTTAATCTGTGTAAATGACAGTTGTTAAATAATAAATAAATATACAATACATTTTAATTAAATAAAATTTAACTTCGTAAACTTAAAATACGTAAAATATAATACAAATTAAAATTAATAATAATAATTTTAAAATACAAAAAGAAACACAAGTATAGAGAATTTGAAGACCCACTAAGATTTTGAACATTTAGAACATTTAGGAGTTGCCAATTTGACATTTAATTGAAAAAAATGGAATTATATTAATTGGATCTCTCGTTTGTGTATACAAAAGAAGATTGCAATTTTTTTTATTCAATACAACAAATAAATGCAATTAAAAGATGATTGTGTAAGAAAATATTATCAAAATCTTACAATTTACAATAACCACATTTATTATTTAATGTAACGGTTATATAATAAAACAGTCGTTTTTTTTTTGCTCTGTTTGATTAAACAATTGTCTCAAGCAAGTTATTATTCTGATAAATCAATTTGGATAACAAAATACAAGAAAGATTCTCTATTTCAAAACAGTCAAAGTGCATGAAGCTGTAAAACAGTCATATTATAATAATATTAGTATAGTCCACACATTTTGTATCTTTATATTTTATTTAAAAAGAATAAAAAAAAATAAAAAAAATGATATTAAATAATAAAAGAGTTAATTACCTATACACTGTCAGTGTAAAGTTTTTTTACACTAGCAACTAATTATATCTTTTAATTGTGTCATGTCACTATAAACACATTTACTTTTAACATTGACATGACACAATTAAAAGATATAATTGATTGCCGGGGTAAAAAACTTTACACTAACAATGTATAGGTGATTAACTCATAATAAAATAGGTGGTTAACAATTTGAAGATTTGAGTGATAATGAGTGGTTAACTTATTTGAGTGGTAAGAATAAAATTAACTTCCAATATTATTTATTATTATTTCATTTAAGGATAAAATTGTTTGAAAATGTTGAGACCAAAAACAGTTACAAACTCATGTACCTCCTTTATATATATGTATAGATATTTTCTCACATAAACCAATAATTTTTTTATGAAGAGACAATTCTCGTTCCAACACATCCATTCTGAAAATGTTTAAAAGCTCTTAGTCATAGAAATAATGTCATCGTAATAATTATTTATGAATTTTAATTTTACTCATAATAAATTGAACAACTTTGTCATAAATTCTCCATGCAACAATTCCTCTTCATTTATATCTATAATTGGGTTAAGACACTATATCTCTATATTTTTTTTAAGTGTTTAAAAATTATCAATATTTGTTAAATTAATTGGTACTGTGCTTAGTCCTTAAATCTTAAAGTCTCATGTTTAAGTCTTGGATCTGTAAGAATAATTATTTTTTAATATTATATTTTAATATAAAAATGACTCCTTACTTTTGCATACACAACTTTTGCTGTTTTATCCTTAAATTTTAAATAATAAAAAATAATAAATTAACTATTCTTGCAAATCCAATACTTGAACCCAAAATCTTAAGATTTGAAAACTAGACACAATACTAGTTGATTCAACAAATATTAACAATTTTTAAATACT